TTGCATAAATTGGTCATAAAATGTGTTCTGCCCTGCATCTAAGTCACAATAGACAAACGCAGTCTGCTTGAACTAATACCCCACAAACAAATGTTCTCATGTGCTCTGTGCTTTAGGTCATTGTCCTGTTGTATCACCCATTTTCTGTTGAGCTTCCATTGGTGGACATTTGGCCTAAAGTCCCAGGGCAAAACGTATTCGTCAACTTGGGAATTCCTTTTTCCTTCGATCAGAGCAATCTGTCCAGGCCCTGAGGAGGCGAAGCAACCCCAAACCATGATACCCCCTCCACTGTACTTCACAGTCTTCGTTGATTCTCTCCTTTTTGTGAATCAATAAGTCAGACCATGTAACATATCGTACGGGGAGCCTCAAAACGTGATCCAGGCATAGTTCATATCACTGGGAGTACACACCAATAGAAGTTGACAAACACTTCTTAAAGGTGAAAAGCAAACGAGTAAACGTACCGTTGAGGTTTTTGAGGGCCCGCTCGGCATCCCTCCTGTTCATGAAGGCCACAAAGCCACAGTTCCTCTCCCGTGCCCTCTCCTCGTCCGTCCTGGGCCACATGATCTTCACGCTGGCCAGCGGTCCGTAGCGGCCAAATTCTTGGCACAGCATCTCCTCGTTCATCTAACAAACCGGGACACCATGTGTGTGACGTGTCATTAGACATGTTTATTTTCGAAGTACCAACAATATAATAATATGCATGACGGTGTGAATATACCTGTGGATTGATGTTTCCTAGATACAAGTTAGTGGTGGACGGGTCCCCAACATCGTGCGAACCGGGTGCGCAGTCATCCAAAACTGCAGACACACAAAAGAAAAGACATCTTTCAGTTGTTGGCCAAGGAAATGGGGGGAAAAAAAAGAAGGAAAAAAAAAACCATTTGAAAACAGATCATCACAGCCACTGCATTCAAATTCAAAGTTACCACTGGACGGACGGTTTCTTTGTGAAGAACCATCCGCTAAAAGAAGCAGAGACGCAGAGTAAATTTTATTTCGGGGTATGGTGCAAATCAGCTGTGGCCAAGATCACGCGGATTACCGGGTCAGACGCTTTTTTTATTTTTTATTTTTCTTGTAGTTATAAAAATAGACCGGAGCAGTTTTAAGGGGACACTTACATGAACGTCTTCCCTCCGTGCCGCCCAGGGGTTCAAAACGACTAACTCGTCCCTTCATCTTGTGTCTTTCGTCCCTCTCCTCCTGAATTCTGAATGGAAATTGAAAAGCAGGCAATCAACAATGTCAGATGGCGACGCCACATGCCAACAATCAAGCTGAATTTCAGTACGTTCCTTCTTGTAAAATCGAAGACAAGGCCCAATTATTGGACAGCTGCAAAAGGCGCAAAAGTCTGAAATTGTCTCCAAAATGGACGGGGCGCCTCGTGTATGCACCGACTTCCAAAATCTGTGAATGCTGTTGTGTGACTGATGACCGTAGCGCAGCAACATCTGGCGGATTACATGGAAAAATGGCCATCTTCTGCTCCTACTGTCGTAAAAAGTGTCACGTTCTGCTACCGTATTTTTTTTAAGCTAGCATACGTTTTACCACGCCTGCATTCAGTAATACAATGCGTCTTGTGTATGTGTGAAAGAAATAGCGCCCGTAATTGACACTACGCTTTTAAAACAGTGCGCCGCACGGTCGAGAAAATACGGTAATTTTTCCTCCACAGTCTGGTTGGAAAATATTGAAGACCGACAACCTTAAGCGTTTTGTTCTATATTTATGATGACAAATCCTGACAGTATGTGGCGAGATGTAGTCCAGTTAAGACAACAAGAAATATCGGGACGTACTGTTTAAGCTCTTCTTTAAAAAGCTCCAGGTTGCTCTTCTTCTTTTCTTTTTCATTGCTCTTCTTGGCAGACTGTAAAACAGCAGGAAAAAAAAAATAAACACGGCAAAGGACAGGGATTTTGTTTTTGTCAGTGTGTTTAAACCAAAAGCAATACTCACGTGTCGTTTGTCTACTGGTAAGAACTGAGGTGGGTTTTCCAGGGGCAGGATGCTTTTGGACTGGGACTCAAAGCGAGACTTGGGCTTGTACAGTTTGCCTCGCTTCTCATCCGTTGCTGCCTCCTCTGGCGGGGAAGACCAACAACAGCATTTTAATGCTCAAGGCGACATGAAAACATCAGGATATGGCTGAAAAATGGGCAGGTGGAATGTTGGTTGTCCAACTTCAAAATAAATGTATTTTGGCCTGGTGAGTGACGTGGGTGTCATCGAATGAAAGTGTAACAGGTTCAGCAAGGGGAAAATATTGGGTGCATAAAGTGTCTCAACAATTTAGATCCAACATTTAAAGACATGTGGGAACTGTTTTAAATTGTGAAAAAAAGTAAAGTAAACGTAAAAAAAGGCGGGAAAGTAAACGCAATTAAATTAAACTGGTGGTTTGCACATTCCAGCAAAATTCAGCAATGTCTTACCTTTTGTGGCATTTGCGATCCCCCCGCGAACAAAAGCTTTGATCTTCCCCTCGCCGCCGCCTTCGAATGCAGCAAGGAACTCTTCGTAGATCTCCGCCGCGGCACGCTCGTCCTCCTGAACGCAGGAATCCCAAAACAAATCACACCATTCATTCATACCCTTAGCTGGAGATTTGAGCATATGTGACCTGGCACAGAAAAAAAAAATGGTCACAATGACGAATGGCAATAGAACAATCAGAAGCCAGTATTCTGTTTATGGAAAATCCTGCAGATTGCTGTCGTAGTTTTTGATCTCAAAATGGTGCGGAATTATTAGGTCCAAAATCAGCAAAAGGGAGCTGTTAGCTTTATACCGATAGCCGTATGTTGGGCATTCTCCGCGTAGATTACTCATGAAAATACAACAGAATTGATTAAAGGGGAAGAAGTTGGTATCTCGGAATCTACCTGAGCGAGTTCGGACTCACTTTGCCATCGTGGGTTATGTACATATAACCCCTGGTGATTAGTGAATCACCATTGGGGCGCATTAAGTATTTGCTGAAAACTTCCTCTTGCAAGCGGGTGAAACCTTGCTGTTGGAATGGTGGGAGTTGCACAGTTTAAGGAAGTCGAACATTCAGAGTAAGAGAATTGATCAAATGTTTCTTTGAGCTACTGGGGAGCATAGGCGTACACGAAAGAGGTCAGAATGTTCGCATGTCTACCTCAGTTTGGGCGAGGAATAAACCTGCCCACTATAGGCAGTAACAAACATTGAAGGGGGGCGGTGTGGATTTGCGCTCACATCGAGGCTGCATTTACTCACTTTCTTCTTGATCTCATCCTGCTCCTTCTTGCTGAGAGTTCTCTTGGCCACGGACATTTTGCCAATGCTGAAAGACTTGAGTTTGCTCTCGAGCAGCGCCTGCGGATGCAAAGAACAGCCACTTAAATGTCATCATCATATGCTTGATTTATTGACAGCTGCCATTAGCTACTAGCCGTAAGCGCTGCTTAAAACGCGCTACAGTCTGTTCAGTAGAACGTAATGTTTTGACGTGGTTGTTGCAAAGCTCACTTGAATTTCGGTTTCTTAGCTGTAAATGAGTTCAAATAACAAGGGGGGGGGGCCTACATCGCTGCTATTGTAAGGCCAAAATACCTTTTGAATAAACGTAATCTACAGTAAAAACATATTTCATCGTAATAGCACTAGCTAGTACACATTTAACATTAACGCACAATAATATGTACCGAAGTCGGTCTTGCTGCGAGGGAAAGAAGCGGGACTTGTGGACCGGGAATTGCTAGCGTTGCTAAGCTAACGCAGTAGCAAGTGTGGCCACACAACCGAAGGTTAGCAGGCGGATGGTTAGCATGTTAGCACAGTGGCGTACACGCTAGACGCGCTCTACAGTTCACATTTTCGCCGATGTCGTTCGACCCACATTAACACGACCTTCGTCCACACGTCGCTAATATGACGGAGTGTATCCAGAAAGGGTAAATTCACCTTAGCGCTGGGCTTCTGAGAACCTCCTGGCGCTCGGTCCGCCATTTTTTGGCGTGGAACTCAAACACAATCGATCACCGACAAGTAGATGATGTGAGGCCAATGTGAACGCTAGGCTACGTAATCAATCACCGATCACGTGTTCGGAAAAAAAAAACACACGTTAAAAAAAGTTCTACTAATCAAACAAATATATGATAAATGACATGTGAAAACCATATGAAAAATTATACAAAATGATTCCACTACTAATTTTATTTGTGTACGTACGCCACCCACGTGAGGGAAAGGACCGATGGATGGCTGAATATGGCAAATATCGTCTTAGATTACATTTGTTTTATACTGTAATATTTATCTGTGGAATACATATACTGTGGATAAATAATTACTCGTTATATATATTGTACAGAGCTTCGACACTACACACATACTTTATACTAATCGATTAATCTATTCATAATCATAACAGTACGATCATAATTATGAAGAAATATAAATTGCTTGATTATATTATCAAATTAATAATGATCAAATTAAGCATTCATAAAATTAATAGAATGATAACAAAACAAAGTCATGGTAACATTTTATGTCATAGATGCTGAATAAATACGTTTCTTTCTTGAGCTTATCGCAATATAGAGTTAATTATACAGTGTTACATTATTAGAAATATGTGACTAAATGCAATTACAGAAGTCAGGGTTGTACAACTTGAAATTATGAACATTTCGTGGCTTTATGTCATAAAAAAATATTTTTTCATGGATGCTTGTAGGTTCAGATGGGAAAATATAAATGTTCCATTTAATTAGAGGGTTAGCTGACAAGTGTATTCTCACAAAAATGCCTGAGGCTCCTTTTTTATGAAAGAAAACACGAACAAAAAACAAATCAACAATGCTAAGGGAGGTTAAGAAAATAACGGGCTCTATAAAAATACATTCAAGTTGGTGCAAGCAGTCAAAGTCATCTCTATGTATGCCAAAGCCCCCCCCCCAAAAAAAACGAGGATTTTGCATAATTTATCATTGAAAATGTTTCTGCTTAGCGCTGACGTGTAAGTGTAGTACCACAATCCCACCAAGGAGCGGCGCTCACGCGGACATGTCCAGTCGTCAACGATGGAAAATGTCCATTTCAGATGCTGTGTGCACTTTCAGCGTCCTATATAATGTATGCTAAATGCTAAGATGTACAACCAATGTTTTGGTTGTACTTAAAGTCCTTATACCCTCCCGGTGTCTTCTGTCCCCTCCTCCTCCTCCTCCTCCTGCCCCTTCTCCTCCTCCTCGTCTTCCTCCTCCATTGAAAACAAACGTTGCATTCATCCAGTTCAGACTGCAGACTCTCCTTGCCGCAGGAACTTCCACTTTACTTTGGAGCAGCAGGCGAGCAGCCCGCTCCGGTCAAGCCGACAATGTGGAGAGTGTACGGGCTGGTTTGCGCGTGGTGTCTCGCCCTCCTCGCCCAAGTCTGTAGCTCGCAGTCCCAGAGAAGGTAAACAGCAAACAAGACTGTTGTTTACTACTGAGCAGATGATGTATTCTTCCTTCTTATTTTTCCAGACCCTCTTTTACATGTGGGGGAAACATCACTGGGCAATCTGGAATAATCGGGAGTCAGGGGTACCCAGGAGTTTACCCTCCAAATACGAAGTGCGTGTGGAGGATCACAGTAAGTAAGCAATTTGTTTGGAATAGTTTTCCCCAAATTCACTTTCTTAAAATATTGTAATAGTATTTAACAAACATCCATTCATCCATATTCTGATCCGCTTAACCTCACAAGGGTTGCGGGGTACGGTGGAGCCTATCCCAGCTGTCTTCAGGGAGTAGGCGGGGGGACACCCTGAACTGGTTGCCAGCAAATTGCAGACATATAATAACTATATATTTTTATTATATTCGGAATAAATTATTCAAACCATTATCATCATTGTAGAATGTAGATGATCATAATTTATTGACAGTTTGTTTTGATAATTAACCCTTGGAGGGACAGCGGTTACTACAGTGGACAATTTATCGGATTACAGGGTGCATGAAAGGGTTAAATAGGAAAATGATACACGTGTGCTCCATATTGTCACATATCCAAAAAGTCTGATTTTTTTTAATTTTCATTCAAAAATGTGTTGATTTTTCTTTTTTCCTATTTTACTTACCTTACTTTCTGTCAATTTATTACTGTATATATTTTTATGTACAATAAACAAACAAAAAAAAAGGTTTTTCAGGTTGCAACCGCTGAGGGAAAAAAAAAGGAATTTTTAAGACCTCACACGTTTATCATCAGATCACAAGAATTTGAGAACATTATGTCATAATAATTCAAGCTGACGAAGTTGCGTAAATACGACAACATAACCCGAATGCCATAGTCTGTCACTAACCTACAGTATGCTAAAATCATAAATGGTAAACAATCAAGTGAAAACACAAAGTTGGGTGCTAACTTCATTTCACGCTGTTCACAATCTTGAAATTTGGGGCCCATCGTAAACGGAGGGCCCACCATTTAACAACACAATGATATCCACATCGTCCCCTTTACAGGTCCCAGAGGGCAAAGTGGTGGTGCTGTCGTTCCGCTTCCTCGACTTGGAGAACGACAGCCTGTGTCGCTACGACTATGTGGATGTGTACAG